TTTATTTATATATGTATCGACTATCATGTCATGTACTGTGATGTAAGAGTGAATTTTGTTTTTTTTGTGATTTTTGCATCTATCTGACAAGATCTTTTGTTTATTGATTTTATTTTGATATTTGGTATACCCTCTATTGGCTTTGTGGGTCTTCTTGGGCATTTTGTGGACCATGCTTCATGCTCTTCAGAGTCGCATGCTATGTATTTTTTAGGAAGCGGTGAAGTGCACTGGTTTGTATGATGGTTACCTTTGCATTTTGCGCAACTGATTGGTGTGCTGCAATTTTCTGTAAGATGAGTGTATAGATGGCACCGTGCACATGGCGCAGGGATGGGTGGTGGTGGAGCACTGGGGTAAACTGCGTAGTGTCTGTTTTTAAAAAACATACCCTCATTTAAAAGTCGTTCAAATGATTTGTTGCACCCCGTTATGATCCTAATTAAATGTGTGGGTTTTCCTGTAGCTCTAGATATTATTCTTTTAAAGAAGCGAATGGAGATGTCCAATGATTTTAAATGTTGGCTGATTGTATTATCATCAATTTCGTTTTCCACGGCTGATATTACAACTAAAAATGAGGCATTGGGAATGTTTTCTGTAGCTTTTGGTGGAGGTGTAGAAACATTGAATGTTTTAATAAGATTGTTTTCTGACAGAACTTTAAATGTAGATGACAGTACCTCCTTGTTGTTGTCGGATTTAAGTATAAAGCCATTTTTTGTTTTTATTATAACATCCTGCGAGCTTGGAAAAATATCTTGCCATTTATCAGAAAATTGGATTCTTGTAATCTCTTCATGTGTTGTTAAATAAAAGGTATTTTTATATGTTTTGTTTTTAAATGCGAGCATTTTTTCGGAGTAGTTGAATGACGTCTTGTTTATTGTTTTTTGGTTGGTTTGAGAAGTAGATTGTTGTGTATCGTTTTTTGCTGGATTATTTTCATGTATCGATGAATTCGTTTTTTGTTGATTTGAATTTCGTTTTTTGGCTTGTCTTAATATTGGTTTACCGTATTGAAAACCAATTAATTCAGCCTCTGGGCTTTCTATTCTTCTTTTACCTCTATCTTTTACATGCTGACTTTCGTTTCCATGATCCGACTCATTTTCTCCGTCGCTAGTCTCCATTAAATAGCTTTTTTTAATAGTTTTATTCACTAATAACTTGACACACGTGTGTATTCGGTGGCGTAGTTAATTAAACTGCATTTATTATAAACAATTGAAATTTTGTATGTGTTCTTCACGCTGAAAAAAAATTAATCTTGTGTCATAATATGCGGCAAACGTTTCTGTTTAATAAGATATACTCAAAAATTTGTCTTTCATTTGTCATTCCGGAGATATTAATTTTTTTTGTCCCGCTGTGCGCTTGATCAGTACGCGGCGCGGTTCGTTGCTAGCTCGTCCGTTTTAACGGTGTGCCTGAACGAAGTTTAAGTCACAATGCCTCCAAAAACTGATTGTAGTTTCTTGTTCGGGACCCTTTGGTGACTTAAAAATGATATTTACCAAAGTCCTAGCTGCTCCTCTTTTCGAAATTCTTCGAAAATTCATGATAAAGTAAAAGCGTAAATTTATGGTTTTTAACATAACAAGCGAAAAATATTTATCCCCAATTTTTTTTTAGATATTTCTATGTCTATCAGGTTACAAAATGGCATTATTATTAATCTTTTACAAGAAAAATAGATATTTAATAAAATTTAATAAAATAAAGCTTGGAGAATATGTTGTTTAATTTAGGCTTTTTTGTAGTTTTCAATTTTGAACGAAAAAATGGTTGAAGTGTTTTGATCGGCTCTCTTTGGTGATTTAAAAAAGATATTTACCAAAATTCTAACTGCTTTTTTTGAAATTTGTAAAAAATTCATTTTTTTTTAATTATTTGTTTAAGTCTACCTTTTCCAGAGTACCCATTTGTACACTGATATTGTAAACGAGAGAAACTGTTTTTATACTGAGCATATCATTAGATTTATACAGGGTTAGACAAAAATCACTTTTTATATAGTAAAAGGCATAATGCATAAAAAGATTTTTCAAAAAATTTCGATAAGAGGAGCAGCTAGGATTTTGGTAAATATCATTTTTAAGTCACCAAAGGGTCCCGAACAAGAAACTGCAATCCGTTTTAGCGGCATTTTTATGTGACTTAAACCTCGTTCAGGCAAACCGTGTGCTGACGAGCTAGCAGCGAAGCCGGCCGTGTACTGATCAAGCGCATTAATATCTCCGGAATGACATATGAAGGACAAATTTTTGAGTACATTTAAATAAATGTATGCAAAATTCTTTTATTTAAACAAATTTACCTTTATTAAATGATCATTCGATAGTCTAAACATTTCTACAATAGTGTGTAAAATTTAATGCAATTATACAGAGTGGTCCCAGAGATTCTATTTTTTCAATTTTACCGTGCTCTAAAGTTTGACAAAATTGTCAACCTTAATAACATTACCAAAAAAACGAATTTTAAAACAATTTTTTTACTGTGACATATGAGTCATGCCTACTAGACAATAATGTGATTATTTTCAAAATCGGTGATTTCGTGAAATTTTCTGGTCCCACTTGACGTGGCTTGACTCTATAGTAGGAATAACATACCGACACGTCGCGACGTGTATTTAGGGTATTTCTACTATACCGACGGTAACCGACCAAACTTTGAGTTATATTATTATTATTATTATTTACAGTTCGTGTAGTTTGTTTATTATCTCTGAGTTCCTGTTTGCTACCACCAATTGTTTTAGTGGATAAATACCCGACTTTTTATCAACAAAGGTAAGTTAGTTCGAATCTTAGAGTAACTCTGTTTTAATTGTCTCTCGTAACAAAATCTAGAACGATTATTTTAAACCCGTATTTTTGATGCTGGTAACCCTTAATCCATGAAATGGTTACCACTGGTAACCCTTAAAACGTCCGATGTGGCAGTAATATACCTAACCCATTCGATTCCATTACAGGGTGAGTTTTTTAACTTGAAACTTTAAAATATCTCGCGTAATAAGCAATGTCGAAAAAACTAAATTTAATGTCCATGGGACGTCCATAGAAAAAAAAATGGACATCCTATGTACATACAGACGTCCACGAGCATACGTCCATTGGACGTCCATAGTATACCTTTGTGCTATCTGGGCTCGTCCGAAAAAAAAAATCGGAAAAGCTGTAAAGTAGACGTGCCACCCAAAAAAAAATCCCAATTTGTCCTTTATTTCAATAACCGAAAGTTGGCAACCCTAGTGTGGGCTCTGGAACAAAAAAAAATACGTCCTTGCACTAGTAAATTACTAGCCAACAGCTGTTGGCTAGTAATTTACTAGTAGTAAAGCGGGAAGCTATATAATTAATACTCTGTAGGCGTTTATAACTTTGCACATCAATAATAATAATAATAATAATATATTTATTTAGCAAAAGCTACATACGAAACACAAAGTAAAATAATTAATACAATGTATTAATTTATTGAATAATGAACAATCTACCTTGATTAATGAATTTATACATTGATATAATGTATTAAAAACATCAATTAATAAACCTGAAACATTGGTTAATGTATTTATACATTAATATAATGTACGTTTTTTTGAATGATTTGGCTAAAGTTAATGTATATATAACTTAGTTAAATGTATTTTTACATGAATTTAATGTATTAATACATTGATATTATGTAAAATTGTACATTATATTAATGTATGCTATACATATATATGTATATGTATACATGGCCATGAGCTTATAAAATTTAAACATTCTATTAATGTATTTATACATTTTATTTATGTATAACTACATTAATTTAATAAAATATTGGTCAATGTTTGGCATACATTGATAATATGTAATTATTTTTTTCTGTGCGCTACTCCAGCCAATCACACGGCAGTTTTCAGTTGGCAACCAGACTTGATAAATTGTCAAAAATCGGTACCGTCATTTGTGTATTTAAAGAACTGCTCTTTATCAGTCAGTTTTATTTTTTTAATACTGGAAATGGCTTTTCTTAGCTCGTTTCCGATTTAATTCCCTCGTTTTATAGCGACGTCCTTGATGACCCCCATAACGTACTTGAAACATGGCAATACAACATAATATATTGTTTTGCAGGGTTTATTATATAATATTTCGCACAACGCCATATGGCCCAGAAGCACAGCATTGTCCTCGCAATTCATGTTTTCATAGAAAACTTAACCTCTTGCTATTAAATTTTACCGCTACCTCTACCGCTGCCTCTACCGTTACCTTTAAAACTATAAATCCAGCTTAAATCCAGCTTTAAGCTGGTCTATGAATACGCGTACGCTTTTTATTTGCATACGGCTGTATATTCTTTCTATAATTAAAATATTTTTCACAAATTTACGACAAAAGCTTATATAATATAATTTTATTATTTAAATAATATAAGAACTCTTGCTGGTTTATTGGGGAGCAACACGCGAGATCTAAACTCACAAGGTCTAAACTCGTTCGAGCTAAAATTTACCTTCAAAGCTAGGTCTATAGACCCAAAATGTGTGGCAACGTCGCACTTCAAACATCACATTTTTCTTAAATGAAATGAAAGTTTTCGGTCGGGCGAGTTTCGGTCAATTATTATGTCAGTTTGTAAATTTATTAAAAAGAGAGGGGTTTTAAATATTAAACCACAATTTTAAGCGTCATGATTGGTCTATAATAAATCCTATTCAACTCAACGCTTAATGTACTATAGAACAGCTGTTCTCCGCTCCGATGTTGCCAATTGTAGAATAGACTTAATTAAATATTTTTTTTATTTGCGCCAAAAATAATAATAAATTGCTTGTTATGTTGTTTTAAAAACTTTTTCAGCATTTTATTTTTTTAAATTCTCCGTCAAAATTAATTATCCGCAACATTCTCCGCAAAGGAGAATTCTTCGCCCATTGGCAACACTGTACTTAAGGTTAGACCATAAAACTTCCATATGATCACGGTGGTATGATATGCACAAATAAAAATAAAATCCTCACATAAAATACTTGGCAACCTTGCTTAACTTTGCCTGGCGGGAAAAATCAGTTCTCTTTTTATTATTGCATATGCATATTTGTTGTGTGTTGTGTCTCTGTTGTGTATCTCTGGTTTGATCTATGCTCTGTCTTGTTTCTCCATGAACTGAATGAACGTTTAAAATGGATTTTGGTAATAGTGTGCTAATTAAAGTAAATAGCCTTGTTATTGAAAAAAGTTACCAAGTATAAAAATAATTCCAATTATTTTATCTTCTGCATAATGCTATGTGACAAATACTAATAATAATAATTATTATGATCTGTGCAAATACCGTTGAATGTTTTGTGTATTAATTTAAAACAAACTATAAAAATGGATAGTTTAGTTTGGCATAATGTTTTAACTGAATGGGTAATATATTGTATTTATATTATATGTTTAAAATATACTTTTTTATATTTTTAGGTTAATTGTTTAAACTTGTCCCAACCAATAAAACATATAGAAGAACTTAAGAATACCGATTTTCTCCACAAAATTTATTTACTTTTGTAAGTTTTACTTTAACATTTTAAACTGAACATAATGTTTGTGCAATGTTATGCAGGGGTTAATCATAATATAGTATTTATTACAATACAATCTACTTCTACATGTATGTAAAATTTAATTATAGATACCTAATTGACTAAACTTTAGTTAAACTAAATTAGTTTCTTTATGTTCTGCATAATGATAGGCAACAGACTCCATTTTGATCTTGTTCTAAACATAATGTCAAATTTAGAACCCCAACATTAAGACGTAACCCCAGTAGCACCAAATATTCATTAAATATATCGTCCCCGTTCTGGCAAAAGTCATTAACTCCATTTTTGTCTAAAAGTAGTTAACTACCTTCGCGATCATAAAACAATTATATCTGTGGTCTAGAAAAACTTATTAAGTGCAGTATTGTATTTTTAGCATGCTAAAATTACAATACTGCACTTAATAAGTTTTTCTAGACCACAGATATAATTGTTCTATGATCGCGAAGGTAGTTAACTACTTTTAGACAAAAATGGAGTTAATGGCTTTTGCCAGAACGGGGACGATATATTTAATATTTAATGAATATTCAATGTTTTTTAAATATTTAAATATTAATTTAATATAAAATAAATATATTTTTTTAATATATGTTTTTTAATATACAGTAAATATTTAGCTAATATTATTTTGGAAATATTTGTTTTTAAATACGTAGTAAATATTTAATAAATTTATTTAAAATATATTTATTTTTTTATGATCAGTGAATATTTAATAGATATTAATAAAAAAATATACGTTTTAGAATATTTTTATTATATCCATTAAATATTATGAAAATATATATATTTTTATAGCTATTTAAAATAATTTTAAAATATTTATATAATATTCAAAAGTATTCAAAATTAATTATTTTAAATATTATCTGGAATAGATATTAAAAAAATATCTTAAAAAAACATAAATACCTGTTTTATAATTATAATTACTAAATTAACACGTTAACTGCCATGTGTATGAAAAAAATACACCCGAGTCTATTGTGCCATGTGTATGATTTTGTATATACGCACAATAAAATTTTTTCAGCCATGTGTATGTAAAGAAGGATGCATAACATGGGTTTTATATGTTAGAATGATCGTCGTGGAGTTGATGTACACCGGTAGAGACTTAGCCGACATTTTTTGTTTAACATTTTTAAGATGACAAACCCTTCATTCAAAAGTATGTCAAAAATCGAGCCAAAAATTTAGTTTGTGCATAATAAAAATGTCGATGAGAAAAATGATAAAAAGATTTTATTTCCATCGAGTCAATGAAAAAATAACAATAAATTAACAAAATAATGCTGGACAAAAAATGGTAATAATAACAAATATTTATTTCTTTTATGTTATGTTGTGGGTTGCACGGGGTTAGAATGGGGTAAAATAAAAAAATGGAGCTAATGTATTATAGAAGTTTTGGAATATTTTTATTGAGAATTAAAAGCTAAAAACATGGTGGCCCAGTGGACCTTACTTGTAAAAAACTCATGGCAGTTAAAGTGTTAATAAAATATTTAAAAAAACATTAATATTTTATATATCTTAAATGAGATTTGCAGATTTACCTAGAAGGCAATTTGAAACGACGACCATAAAGCCTGGTTTATATATTGCCTTCCTTCCTTCTTCCCGTAAGAGATAAACAATATGAAAACCGTAGACTACGGTCCGTAGTGCTTTGTATAGATTCCCATACTCTAATCTATAAACAGCACAACTGTTTTCATATTGCTCATCTTTTACAGGAGGAAGGAAAGAAGGAAGGAAGGCAATATGCTTAATAATTATACCTATTTATAATATGCTTAATATATTATACCTATTTAACTAACTTATTTAAGTGTTAACACAATTCACAGAACAAACCACAATTGTAACATAATTGTCCTTTAAAAAAGATTAAATTAATTATCCGTACCATTATTGATAATTGTAACATAATTTAATCCCCTTGTGTTGGACAGTTTTCCAAATTCCACCATTTTCCAACAATTTTTTTAATGAAAATCAAATTTATAGATTGACTTTCTTTCTCCCGCCTGACGGAAAAACAATACAGAAGCCGTTGTAGCATTTACAAATTGACGGAGTTATTTTATAAACACAGATTATAAAGGTTGTTTATAAATTTAATACGGCTTAATTTTGTATTATTGTTAAACATAATTTTCTAAAAATTCGATAATTTTGACAACCCTGTTTGATAAATTTGACAAAAATGGACATAGGCTAGTTCTGCATTTAATGAGGACATGTTCTCTTTAATTATTCATGTAATATTATTTCGTAATATTTACTAAATATTACTTTAAAATATAATATTTTTAATATTACATTTACATTGCTTTTGAATAATTAATACATATATTTTTAAAATATTTATGTACTATTTTTTATTCACATTTATGCAATATTACTTAGAGTTATTGCATACAGATAGCTTTCTTATATTTAATACATATTATTTTTAAATATTTATGTAACATATAAAAGAAATATTATTTTTATATATTAAATACATATACACTTCAAATATACATTAAATCTTAAAAATCTGTCGTTTTGTATATTACATAAATATATTTATTTAATATTTAACTAATATTTGGTGCTACTGGGGAACATTGATGACCATAGTTTTAAGGGTGTTTGGACAGTGAATAAAATCTCATGATCATTTATATAAATGCTTAAGCATTAATTAATTTTATAAAAGGTATTTCTAATAGGTTTCTAAGCTAATAGGTTTAATCCTTAGATAATTTTAACTTCTGCCAACGCTTCATTTTGGTGTTTAAAATTAAAAATAAATACTTTTTACCAAAAATTCATCTGCTTTGGGACAGTAATTTGACCCTTACAAAAACTTTTAAGTTGCAATATTTTTTCAAATTTTTCTGAACTGGATCCATGGATAAATTTAATTAAATTGATTAAGTCCCAGGTGGGAGTGTAGCCCCCACTCCTGCATCAAAACTGTGATGTTAGGAGGCTGATCTGCGCCTATTGTATTACATTGCTTTGCAACCAGTTATAGATTATTATTGATTTTAAGGAGTAATTTTTACTGAAGCAGTGGACAATGAGTAGGTACATATGCAATATGTACTAGGTACCTAATTTATTGAATACAAACTGAGAACTGCTATTATAAATAGTAACTTATTTAGAACAAACAGAACCGCACACAAAAAATAATTCTTTAATTTTATAACAATTGTTTTGGATTTGTATATTGGAAATTTTCGCCATAAATGTATACAATACACTATTATCTGCAGTTTTAGGTGAGGAAAAACTAAAATTTCACTAAAATATATGTTTATAATGTTAAATTCAACAATCTTTGCTTAAAACTTTCACCTTTTCCATGTAGTACAATACTGAATTTTAAACTGTCATAATTTCCAATGACAGAGATAATCTTTACAATGTTGTCAAGTTCAGAAATGTTAAAATTATTACTTAATCTTTTTTTTAAATAAAATATTAAAGGTAGGCAAATAAATACAAATATATGTAAAAACTTTAATTAAATATTGAAATTAAGTAAGTTTGGACAATATTATAAAGTATATAACCAAAAAATTTGAATTTTTTGTTAATTGTAGGCAACCAGATTACAAAAAAATTTAATTTAAAATTAGTTATTAGTTATGCCTTATAATAATTTAACTTAATTGATATATATATATATATATATATATATACAAAATATATATTTTATTTTTTATTGAATAATTAATCAAACAGAAATAAATGTAACTACTTAACTAAAACATTAACTTCTGTTAGAATTATGTTATTGGATTTACTTTTGCATTATGGCAATTGCAAATTTTGTTTAAAAAAAAATTGTATTTGATTGCACCTTAGACAATAAAAGTATTGCACTGACCAAGCCTGCCTTGCTTCGCTCAGCCTTTATTTAAATTTATTGCTTCAAAATGATTAAGTTTACAAGTAGCCTAGGCGGGCTTGGTCAGTGGCTGAGACAATTTTTGGGCGCGCAAAATTGGGCTCAGGCACAGACCAAGCCCGCTTCGCTTCGCTCGGCCTTTATTTAAATTTATTGCTGCGAAATGGTCAGTGCCTGAGCCCATTTTTGCGCGTGCAAAATTGGACTCAGGAACTGACCAAGCCCGCCTCGCTTCGCTCGGCCTTTATTTAAATAATTACGTTTATAAGTAGCCTGGGCGGGCTTGGCCATGCGCAAAAGTGCTGCTAAATGATTAAGTTTGCAAGTAGACTGGGCGGGCTTGGTCAGTACCTGAGGCCATTTTTGCGCTCGCAAAATTGGGCTCAGGCACTGACCAAGCCCGCCTCGCGTCGCTCGGTTTCATTTAAATAATTACGTTTATAAGTAGCCTGTGCGGGCTTGGTCATGACCGGAGCTCAAATAAAAAAAAACAATTTAATTCAATATTGTCACGTTACGTTTTAAAAAAAACCCTCCCCCTTGTCGTGACAAATCGTGACGGTCCTGGAAAACCCTCCTCCCCCTTCCACTTTCACAAGATTTATGGACGGTCCCTCACGGAAAGAACAGCTGTTAAAGGTAACAAAGGTCCATTATTATCCCGTTCTGCCTCAAAATAGCGTATTAAGTATGATACCAACTCTTGACTCCGACTATTTAAATGCTTCGGCATTTTAAATATAGGAAAAATAAAAAACGATATATAACAAACACAAAAACGGCAATGAAAACTTAAACGATATAAAATAACACAAACAACTTCAACCCAAGCAACAATTTAAGTATTTGTTACGTATATGGGACTATTGAAGTGTTTTGCGACAGTCGCTGGTCTCTTTATATTACTCTTTCATTACTAAGTTACGACTAAAGTGGGGAACAATTATTGAGTTCCAAAAAGGTAGCAAATATTTCACTAGCTATAAGCCCTGCTACTATTTGTAAAGTAGCTGCTACGTTACTAGAACGTTTCAATATCGTTGCT